AGACCTTAGTAAGTAGCTGGTATATAACAATCCTGTATTTGCTGAATAATACATAACATCAAAACACTAAAGTTGTTTATTGTTGATGTTTCACCATTATGGTTACCACTGTAAATGAATTTAAGTACTAACCATGACACCAAAACAACCAGCATGTTTGAAAATACTACTATTATGGAAGGTATTCAGCAGAAAAATACTCAACTATTCCATAACAGTTGAGTCTGCTGAATGCAACCAATGAGATCATTTTATAATGAAATCTAAATTAAGTAGTAAGCATTTTTTTAAATAAATGAATATCATAAATAAATAATTAAATAAATGCTTGTCATATATTTTTACCAAGAAACAACTGGGGAAGTCAATAGGAAATTAATANCTAAAGAATCTGCTTCTGCATATGGCTGTTCATTTTCTTCCATCACGTAATAACGAAGCGGAATAGAATCATCCTCATTTAGGCTGCCTTCCTAAATAATAAATAATTAAATAAATGATTGTCATATATTTTTACCAAGAAACAACTGGGGAAGTCAATAGGAAATTAATAAGATTTACATTCAGTTAGTATAGGCATCAACTCAAATGCTGAAGTAACTTAACAACTGAAGAGAAACCAATCAATGTTGTAATGAAGATGTTTTATCTCATTCATTATCCCTTGTAAAATGCTTGTTTTCAAGATGTTAGGTCTGTGCCAAAAAGTCATATGTCACTTTTCTTCTAATTGATAAGTGAGTGAAGTTACAGAAACAACAAGATTTTTTCAATGCAAATCTCCTATGAAAAGAAGTTACCATTGAAGAAAGTCTTACAGCATTGCCAAGCACAGAACAATATCTATATACAATATTTATAATGTGTGTTTTAGCATTTATTATTTTGATTTTTATGTAATGATTTATTTTTAATATTTTTTTAAAAATAATTGTTATTCTTATCATCATCATCTCAGTTATATAATTTAATAAGATATGTATAGATCACAGTTAACAGAAATATGATTCTGCCTGGATCATTGAAAATTTATGTTAATATTTGTCCAGATAATTATCTGTAAAATCATCTCTATATTATTGAAAATGTTAAATTATATAAATCAAAACCAGCTTACTAATCAATTATTTATCAATCTATTAAAAGTCATTGAAGACCTTCATTAAATACATCAATCTATTCTACAGAGAAGCCACAAAAAACTTCCCTGCATACTGGTTATAAATTATCTGTATGCTTTCATTCATTCTCCATACAAATTTTAAATTTTTTCAGAGATTCTTCTGGACATTGTCTGATGATTAAAGTCATTAAAAGCAGTTCCTGACAAAATAGCTGAAAAATTAAAAATAACTAAGATGGAGATGAGTATTATGAAATTTTCTCTTTTACAATACCACAAAGCAAATTATGTCTGGATTTTACAACAGATCTCAATTTAGTACATTGTCTATTGAATTTGTCATCAAGACATTCTAATTCAGTGTTTCTCAACCTCTAACAAATTGTCGCCCCCTTCAATAAAACCGTTACTAGTATCGCCCCATCACTTCAAAATTCCGATGCCCAGGGCCAAAATGCCAAATTTGTACTGCATTGAATAGACTAGTGACTAGTATAAAGTTATTTGTTTAATTATTGTATGATATAACGAATAAAATATCTAATTATTCTTAATATAATATTTTATTATATCGCTTAGAAATTTGTTTTTCGCCCCCAAAATATAAATTGTTACTAATTGCCCCCTCAACATGGAAAAATGATATCGCCCCTGTTGAGAAACACTGTTCTAATTACAAGATCCAGTAGACAATCTTGTACATAGAAATATATTACTCAGTGTAATTTGACTAGATATTTTCAAAAATTAAATTTTAAGTAGCAAATTAAACTAATTATTTTCATTTTTTATTATTTTTGCTTCATTGTATTAAAATATCAGTTATAAGCATTGAATATGTAATTTGTCATAAAATTAATTATTTTTCTAAAACATACATAATAAATTTATAAGGTTAACATATGTAGTTACAATAGATTTTTCAAATAAAATTAAATAAATTAGTAAAAATTTATCTTAATTATTTTAATCTTCTGAATATGTAATTTTAATTTCATCTCAATTAAAACATTTAAAATAACAGAAAATGCTATCAAATAAAAAACAGGATCTAGTTGTTACTTGAGTGAAAAGTAAAATGAATTTAGACAAAATAAAAACTAAAAAAACATTTCTTTTAATGAACAGAATGAGGAAAATGAAGCTGTAAATAATGCAAATATATAATTAAACTAGAATTAAAATAAACTTTAATTTTTACATAATTTCCTCAAAAACAGTTGTGATTTGCCTACCTAATGATCAAACTAATTTATTATTATTCCGAGTAACTTGAAATTAATACTAATGAACTTAAAAAATTTTCATGACAAAAATAACTTAGATGTGAAATATAAAAATTTCCCACTTAAATTTCTTAGATTTCATTTCTTTGGGGTAAGGTCATATCGACCTTAACTTTCTCACCTTTTCCTTGATATTAAAATAAATTCAATTCATTATATTAGTTATCTGAACTTATTAAAAAAATAAAATACATTCACATTATTTATTAATAAAGAAATTAGTTTCAAAATATTAATTATGAAAGCTATTTTTTTCATAACTAGTGTTTTGAAATATTTTAATAATCAACATTTTTAAACCTTTAGATTATTTTGTACACTTTTTGCAAAGTTTTCATATATATATATATATATATAAAGGTGTTCTTAAATAAATAAATATTTATTTAAGATTCATTTAAGACAATAATTTAGCGTTAATTTAAAGCCCTTTAAACAGTAATTGAAAATTAAAGAAATGGATTATTTAAAAAATTGTAGATTACATACCCTATCGTTTGAAAAGCATTGTAACCGAATAGATAAATATCTCCAGCTGAGTTTTCTTTTTTTTCCGGATTACCCATAGTATTTGTAGTTTTCTACAATAACAAATGTATACACCGGCTCTACGCTTCTTTAATCTGCTCGCTATATATCACGACCGTGGTTTATATAATGACGTATATGATGACGTTTGCAGAGGGAAAAAAATCGAACCGCATTAGTTCAAGGAAATGCACAATCTATTTGTTAGAAAAAAAAAAATGCATATATATAGCTTCGGGTCACCTCGTGTTTACATTGCCTCATATTGAATACTTGTCAGACTGATTTCGCGAACAAGGTCATTCGATGGCTTTTTGGTTAATGTCGACCTAAATTAGAATGTAGACGTTAATATTAACCTTTATATTCTAATTATATTATGGATTATTTTAGTTGGAATTAATAAAAATTGGACTGCTTGATCGTAATGTTATTTGGGAAAAATGGATTTTATTTATTCTCTCAAAATTTTTATTTTGTAAATTTAATTGATTATTGCGTTAAAAACGCTTCTGAAATAATATAAAATCAAATTATAAAAATCAGAGTAAATACAACGCACTTTCCATTTTCGAAATGAAAAACTCCTTCATACTAATCTTAAATAAAAGGTCAGAAAGAAGAAAACTCTCCATCCTCTAAACACCAAGGCATTCTTCTAATCAAACCCATTGCGGGTTCAGCCAGGGCCGAAATATCCGACACGGACCACCCCCAAAAAATTCTTGGGTGTTTTTTCGACCTGATCGGATTCGTTCCCATGTCCCAAAGAACGAGAGACTAAGAATAACACGTCAGACATGACGTCGTTTCCGGCGAATTTTACCATTTCGCGAATCGCTTCGAAATTCGGAACTGTCGAGCTTTTTCGATAGCAAAAAAAATTTCGCACCAATCGTATTCCTGCTAGTTGTCACGTGGTTCTTGTTGTTTTCAAGATGTCTACAGAAACTTTATCACGCCATACATTACATGTTGTAATTACGGATTTTAATATTTCTCTCACCCAGCATCGATTTCTTTTTTACTTATTTTTCTTTTTCAAAAAATAAACGAATGTGGTTAACGACAGAATATCGGAAGCGGCCATTTTGTTTTTCGAGATAACGTTTTCACTTGCTTGCAAATGATTCGCTGCTTAAAATTTTCCAATCGCTTTTCGCTTTTGGTTTTAGGGTCAATAAAAATCGCTTTTCACATTCGCTTTCGCTATTCGCTCAGTATGAATTAAGCTTTAGTGCCCAAGAAGCAAGAATAAAAAAGAAAAATCTCTTAGAAGGGCAGGCTGATGTGTTTACCACTAACCAGCTATCGTATTTATGTGTATATTACTATATCTTCGTAAATAACACGTAACCGAATAATTCTGTACATTCTCATTTCAGAACAATAATTGATTATTCTTATAAATTTTATATTACAATTGAAAATTTATATTTATTAAACTTTATAGATTTCTAATGTATATAAATTATTTATACTGCTTTAAACTTGATAATGTAAATTTCATTATGAAGTTAATTATTGTATCGTTTTAATTTTTTCCATTTTCAAATCTCCGTCCCGAGGACACTAAGCAGGCCTTTTATTTAGAGTCCAGCGTGAGTTCGGTCTGGCCCATAATGGGGGTGGCCACAGTCTTTTTTAATTAACTCTTTCCGCTCTGTAGGCACTAAGAGGGTCTCTTTTAGCAACCTAATTATGAGTTCAGCCAAGCTCACAATGGAGCGACCGAACAGGGAATTATTCAAAGAACCACTCTGAATAATTCCTGGGATTTTCGACCGCTGGAATATCCGATTCCGGGTCTTCCAGACGGTAGGCTGCCACCTTAACAGCTCGGCCATCTGGCCGTCTATAAAATGTAGTTATAAGAAGAAATTCTTCAAAATAAAATTTTGAAAACATAATTAGATGCATCACATTTTTTATTTTTAAATCAATTATTTAATTTAAAACTCAAGTTTAAAGTTTTTAAGAAATAATTAGTACTGTATTTTTATTTATTTTAAAAATTTCTATAGAATCGGAATTTTCCTCAAGAGGGCGCCTCGTCATGTAAATATGTTTATCAAAAATACATGGTGGCGATTCCGCATGTTTGTCTTTGATTCTGTAGTGACAATTAAAAATTAATGTCATGTTTTATTATTAATATAAGCCAAGATTAGTTCGTTAGGAAGAGATTTTGGAATTTTGATAATGTCTTTTATAGAATGTGGACAGTTGCAGCTACCAAAAAGAAGCTGACTGGGTGAGTGAAATTGATTAATTAATGTATCATTTGAAATTGATTATTTTTTAATTTGCTTCTTTACTTATTGACACACACACACACACACAAAGAAATGAAAATGTAGCATTGCAGATTAATAAATGTAGTAAATAAATGATATGTTATTGACGAGGATTTATTATGAACACATTTATCAAGAAATTGATTCTTTATAAGATCTTGGTACTTGGTTTATTTGACTGATTTTTACCTCATAAATAAGGAACAACCGGTAGATTTTTCTTTTTTCATACTAAATGCTAGACATTCACATAAAGCAAATTAGACTGAATGCCTACAATCCTATCAGCATTGTAGATTGAAATTGGCCCATGATCTCATGGGCCAATTTCAATGAAAAGATTATGGCATAAGGATCTGTGATAACAATTTTTAGTATTATGAAAGGTATAATAATTATAATACAGTAAGACCCCACTTGCTGCAGGGGATACATTTCTACACGACAAAGCACTAAACAAAACAGCATTAAACAAGGTTATTTTAAAGTAAAGTTGTACAAAGTACAACTTGTATAACCTTGTTTATACAAGTTGTACTATACAAGTATGCTAATTTAGATTGTTCAGAAAATAATAAGGTTATTTTAACACAGTAAATAGGAAAAGAGGAACACACAATCAAAAATAAACATATTTTACTTTAATTTTAAGTTATTTTTATATTAATTTGCATAATAATATGTTAAATAACATACAAACGTATGCACACAGAAATGTAAAGTTCATTTTTTGTGATGAAAGTCCTGGCTCTTCTGAAATTCTTGTTTTTTGCGGTAAAGTTGTGTAGTTTCATTTCTCACTTTCTTTTTCTTTCCTAAGCAAATGTTGGTAGCAGGAGATCACATTTAAAATGCCTCATTTTGCTTTTGCACTCCTTTCAAAATCTGGATCATTTGCTACAATTTGATCGATGATTTCGGCTATCGCTACCAAACTTTTGCTAAGGAAATCTGTAGAGAAATTCTTCATGTTCCTCATTTTCATAATCACTATATTTCAGTTATACACAAATTCCTTGTTCTGCCTATTCTTGAAGGTCATTGTTGGTAAGGCTGTCACCAGAAATCTGCAGTAACTCCTCAATATCCTGCTCGTCTACATCTCCTAGTCCTGCTGTATTGATTACGTCAACAATTTGGCCAACCTAACGATACAGTGGTGAGCTCTTCTTGTTGAGAATTCTTGAATACCTTCAGCCATAACTTCTTCCACACTTTGTCATGCAGTTATCAATTAATTCTTGTCAAGAGAGAAGTTGATATTGTCTATGGCATCCATGATGTTATATTTTTTCCAAAATTGCACCAAACAAACATAGATTTAAGGAAAGTACAGCATTATGATGAATTGTCACCTTTTGCTGATTGGTTCCTGTTTAGGAATAATCGTATTATATGTGAATCAATGAAATGCTGCAATAATTTGAATCAGTGTAAATTTTGAGCTTTTTTTAGGCTTTGAGCAGACTGTGTTATATTGAATCAGCATTAATCAAGGCAGCGTTAAGCAGTGTCTTACTATACTTTAAAATAAAAACATTCAAAATTTTACATGGTAAACAGTTTAGCATTGAGTACCAGAGCCGGCCCTACCTCATCTTATCAACTCTAAGTTATTGTCCCTGCTCCGCCAAATGGCACTACAGAGAAACTAGGAGACGATGTCTTAATCATCGGCCGGTCCATCGCCCGGCGGGCACCGGGCTCTTAGACTCAAAAGCTAGCCCGAGAGAAGTGCTTGGGCTCTGGCTCTGGCTCCGGTTCGGGTCAGAGTAGTCCTAGGACCATCGACCTTCATCGCCTTCCCTGCCGTCCTTGCCTTCATCGCTACTCGAGCGTAGCCCTCTTACTGACATGCGTTTTTGTACAGTATAACTGCACTAAAGAGAGCTCTACCATGGAGAGGCACTCGAAGAATGGGCAGCGGGGCCTCCCTTCCCTGTAAGGGGGCCCTGTCCAGTATGGCTGGACTAAAGGTCAAGTCGACCTAGTATAAGATCCATCATATTCCTTAAAGTTTCAAAGTCTCCTTTACTTGCTGCAAGCGATCTAAATACTTGGTCATCGGGCTGTGTCCAGTCGATGTTACTGGCCCCTTTTCGGATGCTCTCCGTCAGGGGGCACTCAAGCACGTAGTGCCTCACGTCGCCGCGTGGGCACCCACAGGAGCAGCAACCGTTACTTCAACCAAACCTGGCCATGTAACGGGGAAACTTCCCGTGTCCCGTAAGGATTTGGGTCAGTCTCCAATTACAACTGATCGGAGTTAGGCCAACTTCAGGCACGAAGTTGACCTACCTACTGTACTGAGGTTCCAGCGCTCTTGCCAGTATGTCATTGATCGATGCAGTAGAGTACCTTTTAAGTAACTAGCCGGAGGTTCTACCTTCTCCGTTACAAATGGGCCCTTGGCCGCCGCCTTGGCCAAATGATCGGCACATTCGTTGCCCAGGATACCGATGTGGCCACGTACCCATCTCAGGTCAACTTGTCGCATGTGCCTCGCCCTCAGTACCCTACCTCTGATCTCATGTACCAATAGGTCTTGGTGGTACCCGTCACGTAACGCCTGAAGTGACGACTGGCTGTCTGAGTATACCTTGACCGCCTCTGGACCCGGATGGAGTAGGATCCACTGGGAGAGCATCCCAGTGGATCCTACTCCATCCTTGAAAGAGCTACCAGTTCGGCTTGAAACACGGTTGCTTCCTCGTTCAGTCTGACTGACGAACTGTACACTAAGACTCCGTCATGGTAAACGCAGTAAGCTGCGCCCACTTGGCTGCCGTCTTTGGAACCATCGGTATATATTTCAATACCGCTTAGGGTCAGTTCACCGACATCCCAATCGATGCCCATCCTTAGGCTTGGGTGGGTACTCCATATGTCTGCCTGACATGAGAGTTTCATCGCTGGGTACATCTGGTTGCAGTGCTTTGCCTGTATGCCCTCCACCGCGATCCTAAAGAACGCCGCCTTCTGGCTGACTACCAGTGGCAGCGGAAGAAGCCCAGCCAGGGATAGGGCCGCGTCAGTGGATACCGTTCTGTAGGCACGTGTGACCCGTAGAGCGGCGGGCCTTTGAATAGTAAGTAGGGTCCTACTTTGTTTCACATTGGCAGACTCCTTCCACCAGATGCCGCAAGCATAGCAGATCATGCGCTCCAGGGCCATTTTATAGATGGTCCGGATTGCTTCACCGCCTATGCCATATTCTTGCCTGGTCAGTCGCGATAGTCCCGCTATCGCTCGGTTCATCTTGTCTCGGACGAACCTGAGATGAGGCGTCCAACAAAGGGATTGGTCAATGATGACACCTAGGTACTTTAGCTCACTTACCCGTCTGATGGGGTTTCCCCTTATTCGGTAAATTGGCTGGCGTGCCAACACACCGGTACGGGCCACCGTCAGGGCCTCCGATTTTTCGGGGCTGAAGGTCAGTTTGTGGGACTGCCCCCAGCAAGCGAGCCGTTCTATGGCTTCGTTGCCTTGGCGCTCCATCTCACGCCGATTGGTGCCGGCAACTACTATTAACAGGTCATCCGCGTAGGCCTGCAGCTGGACATCGTCTGGCATGACAAGTCTCAGCGCCGTGTCGGCAAGGACGTTCCAAAGGAGGGGTCCTATGCATGACCCCTGGGGACATCCCCTCTCCAGCTTCCTAACATACCTGGTCGTTGGAGTAATATAAATCACTTCGCGTTTGCAAAGGAAACTCCTGACAGTAGAGAAAAGGGTGGAGGGCAGGTTCGCTCTCCGCAACTCACCCACGATGGAGGGCCACCAGACGTTGTCGAACGCCCCCACGACATCCATCGATACGAGCGATGTGTGGAGGCCCTGCTGGCGGTTCTGACGAATCAGATCAACCGCCCGATGTAGTGCTCTGCAGGTCGACGTGTCGGGGCGAAATCCATATTGTTGTGGGTGTAGAAGCCCTTTGCGTTTAAGGTGGAAAAAGACCCGGTCTGAGAGGATTCTGTCTAAAACTTTCCCCAGGACTGGCAATAGGCTAATAGGTCTGTACAACTTTGGTTCGTCCTTCGGGCGCCCGTTCTTATGTATTAGCACAAGTCGCGCCCGCTTCCACTCTACTGGGAAGTGACCCAGGAGCAGACACTTCTGATAAATGACACGGAGCAGGTCCGGCTGAACCTGGAAAAGAACCTGTACCATTTCGGCCATGATCCCATCAAGGCCAGGTGCCTTTCTCTTCCTTAGGTTGCCGATAGTGTGGGCCACCTCAGAGTCGGACACTGGCACAGGCATCTCGGCCTCAGGAACAGGTAGCTCCGCATCCTGGCGAAGCCTCCTCTGTTCCTCAGTATCATTATGCTGCTCATCTCCCGAGAAGAGAGAGCGGAGCAACGTAACCACAGTCTCCTCCTGACTGGAGGTTGTGGTCCCATCTGGTTTCCTAATGGGTCCCAAAACTGTACCCCTCTTGGCCTTCCCCACCACCAGCTTGTAGGGCAAGTGGAAAGGATTCTCTGCACTAAACTCCTCATAGAACTTGAGCCACGAGGCTTGTTTCGCACTATTCATCTTGTACTTGTATTCGGCATTGGCCCTCTGGAACTCTAGTTTCCTAGTTTGCCGGAGGTCTTGGTCACTGCATCATTGGAAGCGTCGGCGGAGCGCCCTCGTGCCGGCCCTACCATAGGGCAAACAGAGCAGCCGCTCCAGGTGCTAAGTCCTAGGGGGCCCCCTCAGTGGTAAAGAAAATTAAAGGGTATAAATTAGGGGCAACCAAGGGGGTGCCATAATAGGATCTCGCTCCATCCTAAAACTTGCCTCGGGCTGGCACTGTTGAGTACTATGGATTTTTAAATCCAAATATTTAGCATGATAAAAATAATTATAAAAAAACTTTAACATTTTTATTATTAGCATAAAGTTATTTTTAAACAGTTTATTGGAAGAATTCTTAATAGCTTATGTCGATAATTATAATTAA